AAGTTTTAGTTCAAACCTTCCTTTGGGACAAACAAAAAAGCTCATGCAAATAAATCAGGCCACTTCGAATGCTGTGATAAATGAACGTAAACAAATGCGAGTCAGATGTGGAGGAATGTAGCGAGTTCATCCACCGAGGGCTCTAACCTCATCACCGCCGTAAAAAGCTGCTGGCAGATCGCTGCTCTAAACGGACAGCCACTTCAGATTTGTCGGTATAAACTCGTAAAGTGATTGAGTCATCTCTCCTCGGGGCCGCGGCTTCATATGGCACACATGTTATACAGTTACAGAGGGCCTCATGCATCGATCAAATGTGAGATCAGAGTGTGATTGTGCCTGAGTGTGTGTCTGTGTGTCTAGGTGTCGTTGTGTACCGAGCTCTTTAACATACATGTGCGAAACATACGCACCCATGTGAGAAAAGGGAATAAACCGTCTTATGGGTATAAGCAGGAATGCAGATGGTGCAGAAATAGAAAGGAGGGAAGGTGGGGGTGTAGCGCCTGTCATTACCCCCCTTGCTGTGGTTTCAGATGGTGATAGCGAGTAAGGGCAGTCTCACAGGTCTTATCGCAGGGCTCCATCTCTTGATTTTCCTCCACAGATGTCCCCTGGGACAGTCTTACAACCTGGGAGAGCCCTGAGGTCAAGGCCGAAGCAATAAACCTCCGCTATCTTTACCTCCCTCATACCCCTGTCCCATCATCCAACATCCCTCCATTCCTCCATCACTCAGGCTCTCACACCCATCATCCCCTCGCTCTCTAAATAAGGGCATGTTGAGTCTATCAGCATTTGGAGCATAGAAGAGATCTCTACTTCCAAACCACTGGGGGGCTTAAGTTAAAGTTTTCTCTGCATCTGTTTTGATCTGATAAGAGTGGAGCAGAAACTTTGACTGGTTGTTTTTAGATGTGGGGTCTTGGCAGAGCATGAGATCCTTGTGGATTTTGCTGTTCTTGTGTCAATAAGAGGGATGTTTCCAAAGTACATGAGGTGCAGACCTATTAAGGCTAACCCTCAAATCTAAAAGTCAAAAGTATTGTTTTGTTTTTTACATCTGGCTCCCTACTTGAAATCTAATTACAACCTCAATTCCAGAAAAGTTGGGACGCTGAATATGTTGTAGTCTGCTAATCATTTAGGCCCTAAATTTAATCGGAAATTGTTTTGGAAAAATATGCTCATTTTAAATGTGATGCCAGCAACACATTTTTAAAAGCTACATCCAAGTCTGGTAATTCAAAACAAACACAAAATAGGTAAAACAAGCTTTTTGGCAGCTGTGTCTTTGTGATTTATCACGTGAAACTAGTGTTTAAAATTACTTTTCTACAAAGCGTACAGAGAGGCAGACTGCTGTGGAGTTGCCTGCACTTCATTTTAAAGGGATATTCCGACGTAAAATTAATTTAAGGTCAAATAGACCGTAACACTGAGTTAGACACCCCCTTGAGAGATGAATGTTGCCGGCCGCTTGCTTCTCTAGTTTTACCAACTTTAGTAGCGACCGCACGATAGCAAGACACAGCGGTCTGAGGAACCATAAACAAACCTCAACCAGAACGCCACTCTATAGCCACAAATAATGCTCAGAACAGCACCTAACTTCATCAACAGTACATATAGGGTCCTAGCCATAGTACTAGCCACCAAACATCTTTTTAACTTTGACTAATTTCTTTAGCAAAGAGACTAAACACAACTCACCTCACACAGTGAATCTGATCACAGCTTTGAAAACTGGTTGCATGGCTTTTACCAGTCCAGCAACATGCACCAGTGTACACCGATCTTAATTCATTAAATCCAGATCAGTTTGTTTTGAAACCCACCAATAGTCGTTCCCTTTTCTTAACTTTGATCCAAACCCAGACTCGGAACAAAGGCATCCATCAGACTCCCGGTGTTCTGGACAGGAGCACAGGAGGTGTGCACGGGGAAGAACAAGGGAGTGGCAGTTCAAGGTTTGACCTTGAGACAGCTGATTGATGGATGGAGAGAAATATGAAAGAGTAAGAAGGGTAGATAAATGTTGTGGCCACATGCTCCCTAAATTCTCAGGCTGCTGCTTTGTGCTGGCATAGCAACAAATGAGCAACCCTCAAAGACCTGCACATGAGAGTCAAAGCTGTACACACATTTAAACGCAAAAAGGAATTATTCAGTCATTTAAGATAACTTTGTGACCTGTACGTAAGTGTTTGTATCTGTTACAATCCTTTTAAAAACAATCTTCTGCTGCTGTTCACTTTTAAACAGAGTTTACACACTGAACTAACTTTTAAGACACTTTTGTGAGCACACACATTTTCAAAACTACAACTGTAGAAAAAAATTTAAATGTCAAGTTTTCAAATACTGTCAAAGGGTCTATTTCTTCTGGATTCTGTTTTATATTCTTGGATCATTCGGATGATGTTCCACTCTAAATTTAGCGTGAGATTTTTGTGCTTTTTGATAACTGACACCTGAGGTGGCCTCCTCACTCTTACTTTTTCAGCATTTGGTCCCATGTTTTACAGCTGATTGCATTTTCCTCAACAAATCCGGCGTTTCCATCCGTGTTTCCAACATTGCGAAAATCACAGGGCTCCAGGTCTAGAAACTTGCTCGTAAATAGACTTTGTAAGGATGCATGTAGTGTATGTGCAGGTGAACTATGTACACTCAGCAGTCATTTAGCCTAAATATTTAGGATGGCTGTCACACAGGTCGCTGACTGTTTGATTCTACCTGCAGGGTTCATGTGTGTCGAGAGTTATTGCATCCTGACAGAAGGAGACATCAGCTGCTTTTTTCAGGTGCTCTTGGTTAATAAATTCAAGCTGTGCTCCTGGCTGTACGTCCCTCCCTTGTGCATGCCAGTATCCACTCTTTCTGTTGCTTTATGTTTGAGTGATGCTAAGCTCTGTGGTATAGGGGCTTTAGGTTGATTCTCTGTTGTTCTTGGACTTAATGGCAGAAAATGCGGTGAATGCAGGTCCAAATGAAAACCAGGGGCTATTGTCAGTGTGGATTACATGTCAGCCTTCTGCTTCACCTCTCCCACTGGTCACAGAGAGCCAGTAAACTGCCCGGAGACCAAGGGCCCTTCCTAGAAATGCTGTTGAACCATCACAATCCTCCCAAAGTGTTTGCGTTCAAAGTATTACTGGTCAGACCCCATCAATTACATTCCTGGCAGTCGCCGGCAGTGGAGCCAAATTTATTTAAGGGTGGTGCTCGGCTGAGATGCTTGCACAGGCTTTGAGGAGGGCTTTTAAAGATTTCAAGGTACAAGGGGGTGTTTTACTTTGAAGTAGCCCCTTTATCATTTCAGCTTAACGTCCATTAGAACGCAGCAGACATCAATAGTGATAGATACTCGGCCCAGAAAAGGCTGTGCTCTTTTTTGACATCTTAAAATGATTACCAGAGCTAAAGAGGCTCTTTAACATGAGCAGGACTGGGGGTGGGGGTTTGAGGGGGTGTGGAAAGACTCCCAGGAAAACGACACATGGCTTCATGTTGTGGGAGTCTGGCGTGTCAGCTGACGCTGCTCATGCTCTGCATTAATTCTTGTAATCACGGCTTCAGCAAGCCAGCTTTTACAGATGCAGCTGATGTCATGCCGTACAAAAACTGCACATAAACAGTGTCACTTCACACTCAATGATGTGGAATAAATACCCCAACAACGCCTCTGATTTGTGCGAAGAACATTCAGAGACTCTTAAAGCTCTGTGATGTCGACAAGAGCAGCCGCTTGTGGGGATCTGCTGACCGTGAAGGGTGACCCTGATCGATGCCATCTGATCGTTTTTATTCTGCTTCTCTTCATCCTTCAAGACAACACCCATGACATGATGTCTGATTTGTGTCTTTCTCACCCACTCATGAATTAGAAATGTTTCCACAGCCCGGTATGCCTGTTGTGCCCGGTTCTGTATACCTTCTCTTCCCACACACCTGAATCACATTTTCCTGTGTTTGAGGCTGTGTTTGTTCTCCTTGACCCGCCCTGCTGATGGATAAACAGTCTACCGTCCCTGCCTGGGTGATTTCTCCTGCTTCTTTATCCATGTGCACATGTGTTTACTTTCACCTGTGCCTGTGTGGACACATGTTGGAATATGTGTATGTATGTGTTTGTGCTGTCACCGCTGAGTGACTTTTGGAGCGTGCCTGACTTTGTGAAACCTGGAAGCTTTCTCAACAGTCCTTCAATAAAACATTCTCCTAACATTTCCAGAGTGTTTGGTTATGCACTGCTCTAAATGAGGCTTTTAGTGCTGAATACCATCATGTTTCATACAGACCAGCTGACTCTGCTAAGAGCTGATTGGCAGAAGGAGTGTGTCACATGATTTAAAACCAGCATTAAAGTGAAGTAGCTGTCAGCATGAGAATTACTACCTGGTTAAACTAGTAGTAATATCGTAGGCTTAGAATGACAGACATACATTGACTCACCCGCCAAGTTGGCAGGTATTTGACCGGCCAAAATATTAAAGTGGGGTTTTCAGTAACAATCCATCGTCAACAAATATTAGAACATTTCTTTGAACATCCAGGTAGTGTTGGGCAGTATGAACAAAGTCTTACATCACAGTATCAGTAATTTCATATCATGGTATGTTTTTTCCCTCTGTAAATTCAACTAATGGCTTAAGAAGAACAGACTGTCACGTTTGTTCATTTTCTTTTCATTTTTTAATCTCAGATTTGTAAACAAATGCAAACCAGTCTGGCGTACCTTTGGCGAAAGACTCTGCTAAGTTCTTTTGTATGAGAGGAGCTGCTGCAGCTTCAGTTTTCAGTGTAGCAGGTGCGTCACGCATCTTTTGGCTCTTATAATAGAGCTTGGCGTGTTTCATCTTTAGGTGGTAGGTAGGTAGCAGCGCCGCTGCTGAATGAATGTAGGGGAAACACTGCTGATACATATGAGTCCGAGGTAGAACTATATGAGATAAAAACAGTTGTTTTTTTTAGGTGTGGTGGCTTTTATTTAGCGGTGCGCCACGATCAATTGTATGTAGGGGAAACCCTGCAACTATGCACTGACTCAGAGAGATGCAGTAGATATCTGCTCTCTCTCTCTCTGGTATAAATGGTATAGCAACATTTTTACCGGTAGACACTTTTATACCGTCACATAGTTTATACCGTGATACCGCCCAATACTTCATCCAGGCTTCACCTTAGAGGACTTCTTGTCTTACTATTTTTGTGTGTGCAGTCCCCACCCACTGTTCAAGCCCAGTCACAACCAGTTGATTGCTCGGCATCCAGTTTGAAAAGTTTTTGGTGCGGCAGATAAAAGCCAGTTTGGGACAAATGTCTGTTTTAAATGGGACTGTTTGTCTGCTCTGCTTGCTTTGTTCCCAAGAGATGCTCATATGACGCACTTGGTGCTCAATAATAAGCTTTGTGGGTCTTGGAGAGTCCTTGACAGGTCCTCAGGGGAGTCTATCCACCAAATGAAAGTTGGGCTGAAAGACAGACCAGCCAAGATCACTAACTGTGGAGTAAGATATATCAACAGCTTTTGGATGGATTGCTGTCGGATTTGGCTCGGACTTTGCAGTACCCACCAAATACTGTGTAATACCTTTGGAGATCTTCTGATGTTTTGACTTTTATCGTCACTCAGACCCACACAGCTCAAAGCATGTCTGCAGATGTCAAGGCTTGTTAATTTCTGGCTCCACTTCACCCTGAATCACGTCTTTCCAGCTGCGGTCAGAAAGGATTATGTTGACACTTCCTTGTATGTACATTTAGTTGACTTGCAGTCATGGTGCAAGTGAGATGATTTAGAGATCCCTGATCTTTAGAGTGGCACCTCGCCACCAGCACCTGCCAAAGCAAACCAACACACAGGTTACCCTCTGGAGGTTCCTTGTCAAAAACCTGCGATCACTCGCTCTTCAGGCTGGTGTTTACACTGGTGCAACTCCAGCCTCTAATTGTGAAAATGGTACAGTCATTTTAACCTTTTCGTTCCTTCAGAAGGCCACTCTTGATGCATCACCTCATTTGAAACACAGGATGTGAACACCACCAATTCTCAGTACCCCTTCCATCTTTACGGGAAATACTCCACACCTGCGTTTCCACTTTTGGAGCGGACCTCTTTACTGATTTCCCAGGAAATCTGTATGAAAGCCTTTTAATTTGTATGTAGATGACCACAAATCATGGCCCGGGTTTGGCTCTTGTTCTCAAGCAGGGACATTGAATTGATGATCACGTCATAATCGCAGATCGCTGAAATCAGCTGGAGAACAAAATACTTTTAATTTGATGTAATAAATGAAATCGGATTGAAAAAAGTAGTCTTTGAAAATAGACCACAGAGGATTCATTATTCCTAGCATTTACAGATGTCTTGGTCTGAGAAGAGAGAGTATTTAATCCCTTTTTTTACAACCCCAAATCCAAGACTTGCAAATGCTGATGTAAAACAGACTCTTTTTGAGGAATTTCGTTTTAAGTAAAAACTATATGATCATTTAACTTTGATGCCAGTGACGTGTGAAAAAATTCGCCTTTTGTCTGTAAACAGTTTGTCGCTGCATCCACATATGCAGGTTAAAGATAAACGAAACCAGATAAAGGCGATCTAGAAATGCTGGTGACACATTCACACAGCGTCCAAACTCTTTTTTTAAATTCGGGTTGTACCGTCGAGTTGATGTAATAATTGAGACTTTTCAAAATAAACCACAGAGGAGTCATTGTTCCTACATTACAGATGTCTTGGTCTGAGAAGAGAACGTACCTAATCCTTGTTTTTAATCTACTGACAGATCTTTTTGTTGGATCACTCAAAAGGTCATCCAAGCGTTGTGTTCATAAATCTTAATTGATGACTTTGTCTCTCGGGAGCTCAGTAATGTCAAGACTTTGAACCGCCGTTAAAGCAAGATTAAGGGTAAAGTCAGCTACTCTCCCATTGTGTTTATTAACCAAACAAACCACACGGCTTAAGTCAGCCTTACTCTCCCCTTTCAGATACACGTCCAAATTAAATGATTTAGATTATTAATGATTCAATAACAAGGCAGCCCAAGAAGATAATGGTCTCGAGCACGCTTTGATGGACTTGTCAATATTTTCTTTGCTGACACAAAGATGAAACTGTCCTCCAGCTTCTTATCAAGTCTTTCTGTGGGAAAGCTTTACTCAGAGGGATGGATTTAGTTCTCCTGAATGCTCCCCCTCTTCCAGCTAGGAAGGAATGTGATTCTGTTTAATTAGGGACCACGAGTGGGGCTCATGGGAAGCGCCCCGTTTTTAATTACTGGTCCCCATGGCTCCCTGGGCTGTCTCTGGCTGGTTGGGGGTCAGTGCTACAAGGCCCGAGTCATAGTGCCATGCTGCCAGAGGTTAGCAGGGCCAGCTGGTTCTCAGACTGGGTGTGTGCGCATGACTGTGTGTGCCAAGTCCGCCATTATATTCTCCTTAAACTGTCAAAACTCTTTTCAGTGGATGGCATGCAACAGGCCTGTGCAAAACATATTTTCAAAATATTTGTAAACCTAAATGGCTTCAAATATTTGAACAAGCAGACATGAAAGGTCGACTACCAAAATCCGCCGTGGAGCTGAGAAGCCGAGTGAGTCCCCGGAAGATTACTGAAATGAGCGATTCCACATGAAGGTCCAAATATTTTCAAATGTAATTTTTTTCTAATGGGGTCCAGCTTTTGTATGTTTGTGCCACCACCCAAGTAAACACCAGAGGCTATTTGTCCATACCACAGAGTAGAGCCATTCTCCAGAGTCAAATACTAACTTTGATCTAGTTAAGTGTGGTTTATAACCCGAGAGTTATATGTATATGAATGGCTTATTTTAACAAGAACGGATATAACCACAGACACATATGGAAACAAACTCACCATGGTGCATAAAACCTTCAGGGCAAATTATATCCTGTCACTGGCTCATATATATACACATATAATGGTGCTGAAATGGAAAATAAAAACAAATTGACCGTTTAACAACTTTAAATGCAGACATAAGTATACTATACCAATTCGCTGCTCGAACCTTCGAGAGCAGGTCCGTAAACCCAGAAGACACAGGTTCAGCCCCGCCACGCTGATAAACCTGAGTGAGACATAAATTTGTATCTGTGTTTATAAAACCCAATTTCCACCACATGTTAAGCTCCGAGGCAATCAGTAAAAAGTGGAGGTGCAGTATCGAGAGAGAGAAGAGTCCTTCTTTTATCAAAAACCCATTTCTGATTGTATTTCAGGCTATTTTCCAGCAATAACCTTTTTGTGGTTTTGCAATAAAACTGAGTGCAGGCGGTTGGCTCAAAGATGGTCTAGCTGCAGGCAGATCGATGGGCTTCCCTTTCTTACATTTCATCCCTCACTTCAGATAATAACTACGTACATGAGGCCTCATTCACCGAGTGCTCTGAAAAACAAAACAAAAAACAGACTCACTTTCTTTTGTGCAGTTTTTAAGATGATTCTGCCTTTCAGCAAAGCTTTCTTTGTACAATCTACAACATACACTCCTTCTTTAGCAACACAACACGTTGATGTTAAAAAGAGAATCCACAGTTAACTTTTGCAAAAGACTTGACAGGAGTATTGATTAGTTAGTATGAGTTAGTATGATAAGTAGTCCGTACTTCCTCATTGTCTAGGATTCATTTAAAATAAACGTCCAAGGAAAGAAGAAATGTTAAAGAAGACTCAAAGATCTAAAGTATAATTAATATAAGTAGTACACTGTATACTAGTATAAATTCATGTATTTTTTATATTACATTATATATAACAGAAAGGATTTTTTTTGTAATATCTATGGTGTTTCAGTTTGTAGTAATGAATGGTCAGTAAACCTCTAATTTCACAATGTTCAAACTTCTGTTATACTTAATTCAATGTAGTACGCTTTGTAAGATACCTTACTTTGTGCATTTTGGCCTCATTAAGTTCAACTTAGCGTGAGCGACACCAGAAGCTGTAGGTTGGTGGGAACAGATGACCAAAGGGTCAAAGGGTCTCAGTGCTTAAACATATTGACACTGCAGCTATTTGACCTGACAATCCATCCATCCATCACCTTCTGACCGGCAAACACGGCTCTATGTCAAAGACATTTAAGGGCTTCTGACACCTAATGAACCCTCTGGAGTGAAGTTTACATACACTCACTATAGAGGCTTGACTGATTGTGATTTAATGAGGTACAAGGACTTAATAGAAGTAGAGTGAGCACTAACGGAAAGGCTTTGTATTAGATGTCATGTATTTATAGGTTTATTTTTATTAAAACTATCCTGGAAAATTGAACTCTGATTCCTCAGGTGTGTAATCTGGCATCTTCTGAGTTAGCGTACATCAGAAATAAACCCCCAAAGCTCCATCATGTCGAACAAAAATGTAATCTCCCCACAGGCGGACAGAAAAACAAAGGAGGTAAAAGAGAAATGAGCGAAGGGACAAAGGTGAAAGACTGGATACATCCTATGTCTCTGTACAACTTCCTCCCGAGACATATACTCACACACACAAACACGCACACACGGGACAACCTGTTCCAAAAGAGCCATTGACCTTCTGCGTGAAAGCCTCCGATAACAAAACGTGACTTCAATAAGCTGAAAAATGATACTCCGCAGGCGGAAATCGCCTCGCTGTATGGAAATAGCCTCAGAAAGGATGTTTAGAGCACAATTGCCACAATACTGTAAGGAAGGTGTGCTTCTGTATTGTGCTGTCCAACAATAGCTGACTATTAACTCACATCCACACCACCCTATGGATTTAGCAGCTCCTCATAGGAAAAGCTAATGTCCTGGCCCTGGAGGCAGCGCTTTGTGGCTGAGGGCCAGAGAGGGTCGGGTAACAGGCGGTGAAAATCAGCAAAGATGCAGAGATATGAAGAACAGACAGAAAGAGTGAAAAGGAGACAGAGTTGCAAACCTGTTTGATTCATTCATTAATGTATTTTGATTGTTCTTTAGTAATAGGTTGAGTAAAGCCAGGTTGGATATGTTCCACTGTTTCATAAGAGGCTGTCATGGTGGTTATAAGCAACCTTTCTCTTTCCAAAAATCTAACTTTCTGCATATAAAGATAATTGTTTAACCCTCGGTTCCTGTTAAGTTTGAGCTCCATCCAGCCTACTTGCAGAGAAGTGTTCATAAAATAACAATTTAAATAACATTTTTTCTTACTTTTTTCGACTTAAATCTCTAAGTCGACTTCAAACAACTTCAGCCCTAACCATTAAAAAAGAAATGAATAAAAAATGTGATGTATTACCCTTTTTATACCAGTTTTTGTGCACCATGTCATATTTATTCATAAAGTTTGCGTTCTAAACAGCAAGAGTGGAAAAACATGCCAATTTCACCTTCTTTTCTTGAGCCTCATTCTCTACCAAATCAAATGCGATTGAATTCATTTGTTCATAACAAATTAATTTTATATATAGGTATATAAAATCAGTAGATATATGTAAGATAGGAATCATATACAAGTGGTTATCCACCTCTAACCAAAATATGACCACGATTACGCTGAAGAAAAATAAGAACTCTTACCAGATTTGATGCCCCAATCTTTAAAAATGTGACTGTCAGCTCAAAATAAAGATGAAAAAACGGACTAATATCCTCAAAACAGACATAGTAGGAACCGAGGGTTAAATGTTAATCCAAGTGTTCAATTGGTAGGTAAAAAAGTAAAACTGTTTTTACTAAAAAATAGAGTTTTCAAGTTTTATAGAAGTGAGTAACTGTGTTTTAACAATTACGTTCTCAATATCAATCAATTTCACTCGTGATCATGACTTTTGCCATAATTGAGCAGCCCTACTTTTAGTTTCATGACCGCAAATAAGCCCTCATGGTCACAGCAGGCTCTGATAAACTCAAGGTACAAGATCAGTGCAGCATCAGATAACAAACAGACAAAGATGGCAACTATCTGGTGGAGACGGTTGGAGTAAAAACTGGGCTACAACCAATTTAGCTGAAGGAAACTCCACTCTAAATAAATGAGGCTTTCTAGTCTCAGTCCATCCTAAATTGGCTCAGGCATTTCTGGATCATGTTTATATAGGATTTCCTTTTTGCATGGTACGGTTTCGACCTGCATTCGGGGACACAGCGACAAACTTTACTCTCAGACAATGGACTTTGGGAACTATTTTGAGCTCAGGGTCTGTTTTTAGTGCAGCCATCCAGTACTGATTCTCAGCCCTGTCCCATTTATGCAGATATCCCTCCAGGTTCTCAGAATCTTTTCATGATGTGTTGATGATAAAATCCCTAAATAGTCCTTAACTCTATATTTAGGAACATTTTTCTGAAATTGTCAAACGATTCGCTCACATAGTCCCTCACAGAGTAGTAATGTTAGTAACCTGTTAGTTAGGAGATATTTGTCCAGGTGTTTTCTCTTAATATTCAGCAGCATTTACAGTGTTTTAACATTGTGTCTGTACAGTTTTTCTGAAATATGTTGCTTCTATCAAATTTAAATTTGAGCGTATATATTTTTTGTGGAACAATCACCTTTTTTCAGTTGGGTCTTTCACCTTCGAAAGGTGTTTTTATCAATGTTTTTATCACTCTACCCCCGTGTTTTTGTAAAATAAGCCTTGATTTTCTTTCATAAATTGAAAATTGTTGAAATAGAGCTACTACGCTGACCATTAAGACGTGGAAAATATGCCACTCCGTCATCACTCTGCTATGTACAGTATCTTCCAAAATAATATCAGACTTCAAAAAACTCCACACAAGTAGCACAGAGTCAATACTGTCCTCTGAGGACCTTTCAGCAAACCATCTGGCCCAAAGCAGATCTCTCACCTAGGGACAGAAGAGAGCCGGATCTGGTCCAGTGAGCCTGGTCTGGCTCTAGACTGGACTGGAAAGAAGTAGGTGCAGGTAACATGGATCACAGTCATGCGTTTGGGGAATGATGTGCAAAAAACGAACCGCTCTGCCCATCCAGATCACACCCTATCAGTCAACTCTGAGTGCTTGATCAGCGTCCAGGAGGGTACGTCCAGCGGGATGCCCAGGAGGAAATGAGTTCATTGGAACAGATTGTGTGAAGTAAATGAAGCAAACCAGCCTGATCCAAGTCTTTCGCCTCTGCATTTGACCTGTTATTCCTTTCAACCGGAGCTCCATTTTTACTGTAAGAGCAGACTTCATTGATTTACCTCCAGGTCGTCTTTGAACGCCTACACTACCGTTGACACAACCCACCAGAGGTCTACAGCTCGAACAAAGATCCGGCACACATGTCCATTTTAAGACGCTCTGAGGTCTGGTGAGCATGCTCCCATCATCCTCACATTCTCATCGAAGAGGGGATTGTTGGGTTTAAAGAAGAGCAAGTGAGGTTTATGTGCAACGGTGAGGATGCTTCTTGATAGGGGAAAAAGCTCAAAAGCCAAAGTCCGACGTTTATGTGACACGGGAACTGTTTGCACCTTGTATGGTGATCCTCTTGCACGCTACAAACGGGGGGAATTTGATGAAAAGGTAGAGAGTGCTCATGTCTGGTGCCAAGCATTACATCTTGCCTTAGTCACCAACCCCTGAGCCTTCGGTCTTGGCTACAAAAGGCCACACAGCCTGGAGGAGGAAGGCCACTTCAACACATGATTTTTGTTTCCAGCACGACCACAGAAACTGCAGAGGAAGAAAAAGAAACACGACTTTCAGATGGTTCGAGACTGTCCAATCTCAGATCAAAACTTCTAAAAGAAGACACATATACAAAGACTTCCTGTGTCATCATCTATTTGTGTGTTTGTTGTCCAAGTCTGCATCAACAGTATTCTCTCACTGTCATCAAGCTTTGATGTTTTAGCCATTTTTTTCCCCCTATATGCATTGTGATCCCATGATCAGTAAGACTGACTGACAATGGCGATGAAACCACTTTGGGAGCAGAATTTCTTTTCTGTAATCAGAACTGGCAGTAAAAGCTGGTACCAGTTGTCGCACTGAGGAGGAAGTCATACTCACAAATGTTCCCAATTTAAAAACAAGGCCTGCTAATTTTTGGTCTCAAGGGCATGCTGAAGAAGCCTTACAAATGCAGAACTTAGAAGATGATCATTGTGATTGCTGTTGATACTGTGCTCCATTTTTTCCATTTTTTTTCCACCTTAATGGGACTTTATTAATCCTAAAGGAGAGAAAACACTCACCGAATTAGGCACAAGCAATCTTCGCACGCCCATAGGCTGTATCAAGTGTCAATCATAGAAAATAAATAGCTTTTGAAAATGGAGCTGCACAGAAAAAAGAAAAAAAAAGAAAAACTAGACAGTATTGACTTAGTAGTTATCATGTAATTACCAGATAATTTCATGTTGTTACTAGGTAATTACCTGTTAATTACCTGGTAATAAGTGTACTGTAAAAGAAAGCGTTACCGAAAATGTTCAAGCCACAGTGCAGCTCTCTCTGTTCTGAGTGACTTTGCTTTCAACATAAATCCAGTCACAGAGCAGAGTCCAATTCAGTAAAACAAATCAGTTTTTTTCAAAAGCACACCTGATTGATTGAAATGCCAAAATGATAGATGAAGCTGCAAATTAAACTCCTAATAAAGCGTGTGGCTGAGAAACTATAGCAGCCTGTTGATCACATGTGTTCAGCAGAGTCCCTTACTGGCTTTGTTGAAGTAACAAAGCTAAATTGCTTTTGACATCGATAGGTCCCAGTTTGGAGTGTGTTCAAAACATGCTGTATCTAACAAATATGTCTGCTGGCAACTTGAGAGTGACGGAGCGGTATGGAAACAATTGCTCTGAGAAAAACCCTGCAATGTGTTTACTGTCATGCAAAGCCAGCCGTATTGAGATAACAATATGCTCTAAATGACCTGGACCTCTGCGCGTAAAGTTTTATTTTTTGAAGGCAATAACAAACCAAAGTAATATGATAATAGCAGAGAACATGTGCTGTTAAAGCACCATGGCTCCGAGCAAGGATAACTGTTTGGACATAGAGTGAGTGCTCTAAGTCAAAGTGTATAGAGTTTCTTTAAAGGGCTCTGTCTGTAGGAAGTGCTTGAAAGAGTATACTTGAGCCCCTTTATATGCACAGGCACAAAGCAAAGCCATCACTTCAGTAAAATGTGTCATGAAACGGAAGGTCCCACCCATGCTCTACCTGTGAGCCATTGAAAGAAAGCGTGCAGGACAGGATATCATTAGTATTAAAGAGGAAGCACGGCTTATCCAGTGCCAACAGCCTGCTATTAAAAATGTGAATACCTTATTGTGCCGGTGGTCTGAGGCTGAATCTTGAAATAACAGGGTTTTACATGTTTCTCGCTCCCCTAGGCTGTGAGCTGTAGCCGTACTTGTCTTTTGAAAGATTTTCTGCTTTCCTGGTAATCGCCGCCCTCATTCACACACTTCCTCACAGAAACCCCAGCAAAAAAAAAGCAATAAAAAAGCGGGCTGGCACTTTGTCACTCCTCTATTAGTATTCAGGGAGGCAGACAAGGGGGGGGGCTGCAGAAGAATTAATAGCCTTTGACACTTTAACTTCCTCTCCAGGATCCAGGTTGATTGGTGGGGAGGTTTTGTGTGGGTGATGATAAGATGCCGGAAGGCAGGCTGACATTGCAAGTCTCCAGACAACTGATTCTGTTAGTAATGTCTGGCGAAGTACAACTTAACCTGAGTCCTCTTCTCTTCAAGTCACCCTCCTTCTCCCAGAGGCAGGAGAGAACAAATTTCAACACATTTATCACCTATAAGTGAAAGCCAAGCGTAGACATTATTACAGAGCGCCAAGCCTGATGAATATGCTGCTTTTCTGTTGCTGCCTCAGGTCAGTTTTTTTCTCCAGAATGTTCTGAACTGTGAATTTTATCCTCCACTTCAAGTATTTTATCACAGTCTGGTCTGGGAAATAAGGAGGCTGGTCGGTAGACACGTATGAGAGAAATAAAGAACAAATGTACTTAAAGAGGTGGAGGAGACACTTTTACAGCTGATATCTATTATAGACTCGGTACAAGAATGCTGTTTAATTGTACCATCTGTAGGCAAAAATGACACTTGCATTTCAGTGTGATAAGTGAAAAGAAAGAAAACTGGAGAATAGGGCTGGGCGATAAAACGATAATGATATAAAATTAAATTCCCTAAATATCAATATGAAACATGGTCAATATGTTTTGGTAGACTATACAAATAGCCAATGAAAAGGGGAGTTGCTCTGGGTCAGCTTCTACTTGCCACCAAGTAGCAAACAACTGTAAAGTAGCAGACAGCAGCTACACGAAACCATAGCACTTTAACAAGTGAAGCCGACAGCACTGTTGGTGAGAAAAACAGAAAATGAGTGCTACCCCCGTGCTGAGTGCTAAAGCAGAAACAGTCAAGCACCCCCTATCAAAGCTGCAGTCTTTTCTAAGGAGCAGATACAACGATCTAAATGTTGTTGTGTTTTTGTTGGCTTTACTTATAAATTTTACCCTGTAAAAATTCTTGATCTGATCACCTCAGGGTCAACAGTTGATGTCAGAGTCTGATATTGTGAATAATTTGAAATATCTGTTTTTATTTTTCTTAAGTTGTAGGAAAAATTTTAGTCTTTAGATTTTTTTTAATCAGTGCTGTTAGCCCCAGATTTATGTTGTGGTTTTTTGGATGAAACCAAAGATGATTGATATTTTATTCATTCAAGTTTCAAAAGTTTTTCTTGGAAGTTGTGCAGCATTTTTACGGAAACCTTTATCTGCTCAGGCGGCCTCCCCGCTGGTATCCCTCCTCCCAGACTGCTTCACTCTTTCTAAACCTGACACCGTGCCCTTCAACCTGATACTCCCTTCACCTTTTACCTCACAAAGTTCACCCCCTCCCCTCTGAATCGCCTCTCCTCTGGACTTCTCACACCCTTCCCTCTCCTCTCTGCCACTCAAGCGTTTATAAACACTCGTCTTGCTCGGCCGCCAAACGCGGCCCAAGACAAATCACGCCACATAAACAGGAAACGTCAGTGAATGGCTTGACCTTGCTCTGCTTTACATGCCAACCACCATGCTGCCTGTCAGTCAGGAGCTGCTGGCCCATTAAGTGCTCTCTGCATGCGTGTGATGTTTATAGTGTTATATTCCCATGTTTGATCCTCACGTCCTGGCTCTCAGTTTTTTCTGCGGTGAGTTTTCTCGCCCTGCGTTTGTGAGGTGAGCAGCGTTTGAGAATGACCGTGCGAGAGCGTAATCGTTCTTGACAGAGGAATATCTGTCACAGGGGAGTAGCGGCTCTGTGGTCTGATTTTGCAGCGAGAGGAAAGTTGTCTGTATTAGATGGAAGGATTTGCACTGGTGTTTCCACTGAAGATGCTGACTGTGAGGGTACACAAGCAGCTCGGTTTGATTCTTCCTTTAAATCCAGGCGTTGATATCACTGCCAAACACTGCAGCCAAACAAAGATTCACAAATCGTCATCAGATTTTCCATATTTCTGCTGAGGAGACAACAAACATGGAGGCGACTCTTCAACACTTGACTCTAAATGAGAAGCGGCATACCACCACTTTTTTTATCCCCTCTAAAATATGCAGCTGCATGAATGTACAGGGCTGATCCTTGTTACGGTGCATGTAAATCTGCAGCAATGCGCTTCACTGAAGGCCTGCGCAGACAAATACTCATCATGTACACAGAATACATTTGTATGACGGCATGTTTGCTTATTTTTGATTTCCATGTGATTACTTATATATCTATGGTGGCAAGGAAATGGATTATTATTTTTCAGGCCAAATATTTAATGTTCCCATTATTTGGGCAGTCACATAAACAAATACGTCATCAGCGATTCATTGCTCGTACAATAACAGTGAGCTTGTTTCCCACAGTGGGGCCAGGCCTGGCAGCAGGGCTCGCCTCTGCCTCGGAGCTGCTGGGAGGGAGCCAGCTCAGGGTTCAGACCGCTAACATACACACACAAACACACACACACACACACACACACAGAGTCACAGACCACCACTGCGAAGACACAACATGTACATGCTCACAGCATCTGTGTTCACTGAAGATACAGACCACTACCACTTTTCATCACGGTCACAAGTAGAGCAGCGACTGCAGATGATTCTTGTGATTTATTAGTCTTTGTATTATTGTCATGATTGAGCCATAATTCACTCAGTCTGTACGCGGCCAAAAATCACAGAGCGTGGGGAAATGTCTTCATAGACTCTGTTTTGTCCTGCTAACAAACCGCAATTATAAACACCAAAGACGATCAGAAAATTCTGTTTTAGAGAAGATTAAACCATGACTTCAAATTATTTTGCTGTCAAGGGGATTGAACATTTAAATACTATCAAAATATGTACTTAAAGTGTTCCACCGAGGACAGATGTTGGACCTGTAGTAGGGCTTGACACTAACTTTTTTCACAAGGAGCATATGTGCTCCCAAGTTGAAAAAGTAAGGAGCACAAGAAAAACTTTAGGGGCACAATAAAATTGATCAAATTGTGTGTCTTACTGGTCGACATTAGTGCTATTATTTGAAATCAATTTTAGGTCTTTTGGTCACATGACATGGAAGCTATTGAAGGAAAACGGACTTTTCTGAGAACATCAACCGGTAATTTATTGATGGTCCCTTATTCAACACCCGACATTGACAGCGAGGGTGCCGAGTAGATTTAGTAGATATCCAACCTATAAACCAACTTCACCGCGGTATTTACATGAAATATGTGCCCACATTTTACATTGAATACATTTTACAATTCGCACACATCTATTTTTAGTCACAAATGCGAGTGAAACGGTCGCACTCTCGAGCCCTGTGTTGCATATTCAAATACATTAACCCCTTTTTAATGTTATGCATGAGTCTGTTAAAATTCTGACTTTAGACCTTCAGCCTGGCTTCCATTGTGGTCAACAGATACTTTGATCTCCAAACTTTCACTTTAAAACCCTCATGGCATCAACTAAACTTTGGCGCTCCACTCAGCCAAGAGTCCTGTAATGTTTACAGCTAGGTAACTATGACGATGTGTGCCCCCGCATTCAGCAATGTGCACATTTCATGCAAATGTGTAGCTTTCTCTGCATTTCATTCTACTACATTGTTCGCATCAGTGTATAGAACACAGCTCACTTTTAAACGATCAAATAGGTTTTAAATATGTGTCATACCAAATTCACAGTTCTTCAACAAGAGGTACATCATTATTTTTAAAGTACCAAACCTAAAACTGCTGAGTCAGATAGGAGGCATTTAGACAACATACAAAACTAATACACTATAAGAGATTAACGGGCCATTAAATTCTTTATTAGCTTATCAATCTGTAACAATAACCAGTAAAACTCACAACATCCACGATGAAGCTCATGTCCTCCAGGCGGAATTATCTGGCGGAGTTTGCCCACTTTAAAACCCATTTTACACTCTCATAACATTAGACTAATTTAGCACAAAAAAACCCACTGAGAAGTAAAACAGAAACACCTGTTTGATGTCATCCTCAGGTTTAGAGAGTTCACTACCAGCTGTTCGCTTTATTTAAACTGCAGGTGTTTGACTTTGTGTTGTAGATTTAGAGGATTTATTTTTGTTGTGGTGGAGTGTAATGGAGCCATTAAACATCTTTTTAACTTTGCCTAATTTCTTTAGCAAACACACTAAACACAACTCACCTACTCTCTTTCAGCAGCTGCTTGTTGAAACGGAGACCTTGGGCGAGTCCATCTCCAACTGCAGCGGGGTGATGCAGCTCAAGGAAGAACATTTATGATCATTTCTTCATGGAAATACAATCAGACCGAGAGGATAAGTCAGAAGAACTACCTTGTCCCATCTGGAGATCTCTCTACAAACAAGTGGCTGCTGGAAGAGAGCAGGTGAGTTGTGTTGAGTCTCTTTGCTAAAGAAATTAGTCAAAGTTAGAAAGATGTTTGGTGTCTAGTACTATGGCTGTGACCCTATATGTACTGTTGATGAAGTTAGGTGCTGTTCTGAGCATTATTTGTGGCTATAGAGTGGCGTTTTGGTTGAGCGCGTGGCTCTCTGTATTGCTTGCCTGTGGTTGTTACTAAATTGGTATTATTCATAATTTTAAATTAATTTATAAATTATTTTTACGTCGGAACATCTCTTTTAATGCTAAATTGCAATTGGGAAAGAG